ATGGTGCTGGGCACATAGTAGGTGCTACAAAAATACTCGTTGAGGGAGTGGCTACCCCTTCCCAGCCTCCTCTTCTCCTGCTTTGAAATACAGGGTTTGACAGGAAGACCAGGATATGGTCGCCTTCCTCACTTCTGTGGAGAGAGAATCTGATCTGCCCAGAAAGATGGAATGAGCTGGCTGTAGTCACTCAGCACCTGGCCTCAGGCACACAATAGGGAAAGGGGATAGTTTGAGACGGATGGGGGCAGGGCGTCTGCCAAGCGGGGAAATGCAGAGAAAAGCCAGTGGGGTAGGCCTGGGAGGCGGGGAGAGGCAGCTGCAGCCAGTACCCGGTTAGCTTGACAGGAAATGCCCCAGTCAGCCTGCGTCTCAGGTCAGAGTTGTAGGGGAGGCCGTGGGGCTCCAGAGGCAGCCAGGAGCACAGGAAAATAGCACAGGGTAGCTGTTCAATGTTAAAGCCAAACTTAGCAGATTTGCAGAGGACAGGTTGATAATCAAACCCCAAACTCAATATTTGAAAAGAATGGCAGAATAGCACAAACCTTCAGCAAGTTGACTAGGGGGAAAACAAGAAACAGCACAAACACTGATGGTGGAAGCAAAGCCGGGGATGGAGCGGATTTGACAGCTCTTGCGAACACCGCGTTCAGCGTGCACAATGCATTCGAAGTCCTAGATGAAATGGACACTTTTCTAGGAAAACATAAATCACCAACATATGCTCATGACGTAGTGGCAGATGTGAGAGTCTGGAAACCAGAGAGGGGGAGATCAAAAGGTTATGACAGACCTTCGCGTACAGAAGGCACTGGGTTCCAGCACTTTATGTGTAAGTTCTGCCAGGCCTCCAAGGAACTGATCATTCTCATCTGTTCTTTTTTTGGGGGTGGAGCCTCACTCTTGTCACCGAGGCCAGAGTGCAGTGGCGTGGTCTCGGCTCACTGCAACCTCCACCTCCCAGGCTCAAGCACTTGTCCTGCTTCAGCATCCTGCGTAGCTGGGATTACAAGCGTGTGTCACCACGCCCGGCTAATTTTTTTTGTATTTTTAGGAGAGACGGGGTTTCACCATGTTGGCCAGGCTGGTCTTGAACTCCTGCCCTTATGATCCGCCTACCTCGGCCTCCCAAAGTGCTGGGATTACAGGCGTGAGCCACCATGCCAGCTTCATCTTCTCATCTTTCACACAAACTTCCAGAACACAGGGAAGGTGTTCCCCAGCTCACTGGCAAGGCTGCCACCCCCACCCCCACCCCACCCCCAACCACCTAACAGGACAAGGACAGCACAGGAAAAGAAGGTTGCAGCCAGTCTCATGGGATCCTCAACAGAACATGGGCAGCTTGATCCTGCAGTGGGTGGACAGGCTGATGTGCTGGGGCAGGTGGAGCTTAGCCCAGATACACGAGGATGCTCCATCCTTAGGAAGTCTCTCAGTTAAAGCACACAGACTTCAAAGCTGGATATGAGTCCTGCCTCCACCTCTTCCAAGCTGGGTGACCTTGGACGCGTGTCTGGGACTCTCAGAACCTTGGCTTCCTCAGCTGCAATTTTGGAATCTGGATTCCTGAGCCCTCCAGGGATGGATGTAAGGAGGGCTCCATCAGGCAGTGTGTTCCTAGCCGTGCCATATTGGCTCCGTCAGTCACACACAGGGTCACAGCTTATTACAGAGAAAGGACACAGATGACAACCAGCCAAGGAAAGAGATGCGTGGAACGGGTGGAGGAAGGCTCTGTGCTTGGAGCTTCCAGCTGTCCTCCCGCTGTGGAGTGTGGACAGCGTTAACTCCTCTCGGCAACAACGTGTGACAGCATGCAGGGGAACTGCTGGCCAGGGACGCTCCCCCAAGCCCGGCGCCCTGGGTGTGGATTGGGGTTGCGTGTGTGGATATGCTGACCTTCGCCTCCAGCCCCGTCAGAGGCAGAGCTGATGCACGTGGCCTAGATCCCCAACCCTGAGTCACACTGTTGGCTCAGCCCAGCCAGCTGGTCCAGTGCCCCAGGTGAGCAGACTCTGCCATCAGGCAGTGTGTTCGGGGGGCGTAGACATGACCCTCCCTGGAGCCGAGGGCAGAGGCCAGACCTCTCTGGACAGAGCTGATCCTCACTGCACAGCAGCGGCGTCTCGTCCAGTCTCCACGCAGCCCCGCAGGGTCCGTCCCGGGTCCTGGAGTCATCTCAGGGAAGGGAAGCAGCTTGCCCGAGGTGACAGAGCTGGTTCAGGGGCAGGGGGATCTGTGGAAAAAACACACTCGAAGTATCTTTTTCTAGTCTCAGCATCAGTGACCACAGAAGACGTCTGTGACCAAATGTTAGAGGGGGCGTCCCCTCACATACTGTACAAGCAATCAGCTCTGCAGCAGACGCAAGCTGGGTGTCCTCTCATGCATTTCCAACACGGTCTCCCTGGAGACAGCGCCAGCTCCCACAGGTTGAGGGCTCACGCCCCAAGACTGGCCCCCCCATTTCTGATGCCAGTCACAAGCCCCAGGTTATTTCATCCGTGCTTCCAACTGACGGGCTGAAAGTCGGGCTCCCGCAGCCGCTCCTCCGGTTCAGTTAATGTGCTAGCGTGCCCACAGAACCAGGGAGACATGTTTACCGATTTATCACCAAGGAGATTTTAACGCATACCGGCGAACAGCCAGATGGAGAGCCACGTACGTGAGGTCTGGAAGGGTTCCGAGCGCAGGAGCCTCTGTCCCTGTGGACTTGGGGTGCACCCTCCTCCCGGCATGAGGGTGAGGTCTGGTTTACTTTGCTGTCCGCCTCCGCGTGCTCAGCTCTCTGAAGCTCCCTGAACCCTGTCCTTTGGGCCTTTTACGGAGACTTGGTTAGAGGTATAATTGAAGCATGGACAGCCATGTAGAAATGCGATTAGATAAAACGCGTGTGATCTAATCCGAGTAGACCGAGCAGGGAAACCTCACAAGGCCTGTGTGTTCAGACCCTTCTTGGCCTCCCTGTTCAGCCTTCTTTCCTCCAGGGTAGGGGCAGGACCCCTTCTGAAGGGGGGTGTTATGGCCAGAATCAGATAAATTAGGTCAGAAAATTTTTTTATGGCCAGAGGTGGGGGAAGATTGAAGTATATTTTTAGTTTTTAAGGCCCGCCTTGCGGAGAAAGAAGAGCAGGTGAAAGTGGGGCAGAAGGTCAGGGAGAGACTTTCAGAGCCTAAAACTTCCCAGCGTTAGAACAAGACTGTAAACAAGGGCTGTGGGAGTCATGAGCCAGGAGCCATAGACAGAACCCAATGTATACATATCACAAAATCACAGGGAGGACTAGGAGCCTGGGGCTGCTCCGTGCTCCCCCCCTTCTGTGTGCCTGGCCCCGCAAGGGGCACCTGTCCCCGCGTGGGTGTGCCCTGGATGTCTCTTCCTGTGGATGATGCTTGGCCAGCATCCCTTGTCTCTGGGACCTCAAACCGGGAAGTTCCCAGAGGAATGGGTAGATCTCAGACTTTTCTGTGCCCAAGATCTCTGGGAGAACCCCCGGCTGGCACGGCTTCCCGGGCTCCACTCTCAGGTGTGTCGACCCCAGTGCCCTTGAGCTGAGGCCAGGACAGCACCCCTGCCCGGCCTCTGCCTGTGGCCGACAACACACAAGGGTCATGGGAGCCCCGCCAAGGGCCAAGGAGCTGGAGGGTGGTCCAGGGTGGTGCTCTGGGCCTGGGTGAGACTGTGCTGTTCTGACTCTCCGATGGGGCCCCGAGCCCATCACGGTGCCATAGCCAGGTTGGGAGGCACCCAGGATCTAGTCAGCGTTGTGCCAAGCCCCCGTCCCATGCCTCAGCCACCTGAGTCACTGGGATTACAGTCATGAGCCGCCACGCCCATGCTCCTGTATCTTGACCCCTTCTTTAGGAAACGTTTTCTTGTCTGTCAGAGTGAGGGCAGATGGTTTGCCCCTGCTGGTTTTTTTTTTTTTTTTTTTTTTTTTGAGACAGAGTCTCACTCTGTTGCCCAGGCTGGAGTGCAGTGGCGTGATCTTGGCTCACTGCAACCTCTGCCTCCCGGGTTCAAGTGATTCTCCTGCCTCAGCATCCCGAGTAGTTGTGATTACAGGTGCGTGGCACCACGCCCAGCTAATTTTTTGCATCTTTAGTAGAGACAGGATTTTACCATGTTGGCCAGGCTGGTCTCGAACTCCTCACCTCGTGATCTGCCCGCCTCAGCCTCCCAAAGTGCTGAGATTACAGGCTTGAGCCACCGCTCCCGGCCTAGGCACTGCTAATTTTCACACCAAGGATTGCTTTATGATCCAGGTACTCCTGTGGCCAAAAAGATTTGAAACAGGGAAAAAGTGTGGTGCGTGGCTTAGCTGTCAGCAGCACCAGCAGCATTCCCATCCCCTTCCCTTGGGGACGTGGTTTTGAGGAATGATGTAGTAGGGCAAAGAAACCATAACCAGAGTTGGACTGAAAGTTTTTAAATTTTTGGTCCTCCTGGCTGGCGCCATCCTGCTTGGCCGCTGTTCTGCCATTTCACACCGAGAAAAGTCGTTTCTGAACTTAGTTTACGTTTTTCCCAAGTTAAAAGCTCACGTATTCTGCATTTTGTGAAGGAGCTAGCACTTTATCCAAAGGGCAGGAAGAAGCTGGTCTGAGACAGGTATATTAGTTACTTCTTGCTTCCTGACAAGTCACCCCAAACTTGGGTGTAAAACAGTAACATCTGTCAGCTCAGAAAGCCTCTCTGGGTCAGGAGTCTGCGAGTGGCTTGGACACGCGGACCTGGCCCAGGGTCTCCTGTGAGGTCACGGTGCAGTGTTGGCCGGGCTGTCATTTGAAGGTTGGCTCCCTGCCAGGGGTTGGCAGGAGGCCTTGGTTCCTCACCTGTGGGCCTCTCCATAGGGCAGCTTCAGTGTCCCCCAGCATGACTGTGACTTCCCCCCAGCAGGGATGGGATTCCACAGCTGGTTGACGGTGGTGGGGAGAGGGAGAAATAGATGCCGTCACTCAGGTGTCTGAGTTCAAAACGTGTGCTCTCATTTCAGGGGCCAGCAACCTCCCCTGATGGGTCGTCGGCAACAAGGGCGCCTCAGGACGTGACGCAGGGCCCTGGGGCCACAGCTGGAAAGGAGGACAGCGGGATGGTTCCCTTAGGTGAGCCACTGGCCCCCCTGGTTCTCCCTGCCAGCCCCCAGCACCGGGGATGGGGGTGTGCAGTGAACGATCCTGGCGCCAGGATAAGGGCAGACCTGGACCCCAGCCCTTGAGGAGCCCCAGGGTTCGGACCCAAGGGGCGGGCATTGGGGGTGCAGTGGGCCTCGGGGTTGGAGGTCCACCCATCCATCCATCATGCACCCATCTAGCCATCATCCACCCTCCACCTATCCATTTCTTTATCATATACCCACCCATTCACCCATCCATCCCTCTGTCATTCAACCAGGCATCCATCCATCCTTCACCTGTTCCCCCTCACACCAATCCCACCATCCTTCTGTCATCCATCCATCATCACCCATCTATCCATCACCCACCCATCCATCCATCTACGCATCTACCCATGCACCCACCGATCCATCATCTGGACGTTCATCCACCCACACATTCATCATCTACCCATCCATCACCCATCCATCCATCTACTTACCCACGCACCCACCCATCCATCCTCTGGACATTCATCCACCCACGCATTCTTCATCTGCCCATCCATCGTCTGTACATCCATCCATCCATCATCTGTACATTCATCCATCCATCATCCATCTATTCATCCACCCATCATCCACCCATTCATCCACCCATCATCCACCCACACATTCATCATCTACCCATCCATCACCCATCCATCCATCTACTTACCCACGCACCCACCCATCCATCCTCTGGACATTCATCCACCCACGCATTCTTCATCCACCCATCCATCATCTGGACATTCATCCATCTATTCATCCACCCATCATCCACCCACACATTCTTCATCTACCCATCCATCATCCAGCCAGCTAGCCATCAACTATTAAGTATGGGGTATTGACTGTATGCCAGGGACTACTAGGTACGGGGGACACAGGCATGAATAAGAAGCCCACATCCCAGCCCTCTTCCCACCCCAATGGTTTCTGCTTTAAGCGTTCCCTCCCTGCCTCCACCCCAGCCTGTGCTGTGCCTGCCCTGCCCTGGTGCAGACCCAGACGCTGACTCTGTTTCTTTTCCCAGCAGGCACCGCCCCTGGGGCTGAGGGGCCGGCGCCTGGGGACTCCCAGGCTGTGCGCCCCTACAAGCAGGAGCCCAGCAGCCCCCCGCTGGCGCCTGGCCTGCCCGCCTTCCTGGCGGCCCCGGGCACCACGTCCTGCCCCGAGTGCGGCAAGACGTCCCTGAAACCAGCTCACCTGCTGCGCCACCGGCAGAGCCACTCGGGCGAGAAGCCGCACGCCTGCCCCGAATGCGGGAAGGCCTTTCGGCGCAAGGAGCACCTGCGGCGCCACCGCGACACGCACCCCGGCAGCCCCGGGCCCGCGCTGCGCCCTCTGCCCGCCCGTGAGAAGCCCCACGCGTGCTGCGAGTGTGGCAAGACCTTCTACTGGCGCGAGCACCTGGTGCGCCACCGCAAGACGCACTCGGGAGCGCGGCCCTTTGCCTGCTGGGAGTGCGGCAAGGGCTTCGGGCGCCGCGAGCACGTGCTGCGCCACCAGCGCATCCACGGCAGGGCAGCCGCCAGCACGCAGGGGACGGCCGCCCCGGGCCCCGATGGTGGGGGCCCCTTCCCGCCCTGGCCCTTGGGTTAGCCGCCGCCTGGCCCGCGGCGCCTCCCGCCCTTGGTGCTGCCCCCTGGGCCGTCCCTCCTCTCTCCCAGCGCCACTTGGCCTCTTCCCCTCCTCCTCCTTCCCTCCCGCCCACCCTCCTCCACCGCTGCCTCCCTTGTCTGAACTTCCCAACGCCTTCCTCTCTATTCCTTTCCAACTCCTTTTCCCCCAGATTTCACTTTCCTGCTCAGGTCTCACCTCAGCCCCTCTTCTCCCTGATTTCTCGGCCTCTCTCGCTGTGTGAAGGGGCCTCTTCCTAATGTCTCCGCCTTCCCCCACCTTCTCTCTCCTTCGGCCCAGCCTCCCTCACCCTCCTCCATTCCTCTCTCCCCGCCCTTTTCCTGCCTGAAAAGCAGAGGTGAGGACCTGGGACCCCTGTGGGGCAGGCGGGGAAGAGCTCAGGAGCAGCCATAGGCCAGGCCCCCTTGATGAAGCGGAGGCTGAAGGAAAGGAGTCTGGGTCTTGTCCCTAGGAATTCTCTTCCCACAGGACAGATTGGGGGGGCAGCGGGAGGCAGCGGCTGATGGCTCTGACAAGTTGAACCCAGGGCGTCGCTGTGGGCTCCTTGATCTCGCTGCCCCCGTGACCCAAAGGCATGGGATGGACAGAGATGCCTGCTCCCATGAAGCTGGTTGGGGATGGCAGTTCACCAGCACCCAGAGAGTAATAAAGTCACTGTGTGTAGACCCGGAGTCTGTGCTCTGTCTGGACTCTGTCTGGAGCAGCTTCCTGGGGTCTGCTGTCTTGGTTCCCACCGCAGACTCTCTCGGCATGAGAGAAGCTCTGGGAGTCTGGGCACAGCCGTGGGAAGCAGTGCAGGAAATGTATCCTCAGGAGGGCTGTCTCCACCTCCATCCTATGGAGGCAGGGATGAGGCTCCTGGAAGGGACCTGCCGAACACCACACTGAGTTGGGTTCGCGTCTGAGCCCTTCAGCTTCCTGGCTGGGGACCTACCTGTTGGTCATACCCTCTGAGCATGAGTTCCACATCCGTGAGTGATGATAATGGCACCTACCTCCCTTGCTAAGGCCACTGTTTCGCTGGGGTCCTGGGTGTCAGTGTCGGTAGGTCTCGGGTGGCCTGTCCTGCCACCTGAGGAATCCTGTCATCTTTAGTTGGAGCCGTTGACCAAGGAGGATGTTCCATAGGGAGGACAGGCTTTGGCCAGCTCCATCTTTCCAGGGTGCCTCCTCTCGTCAGCTCAGCAAGCAACCCCAGTTCCTCTCTCCAGGGAGGAAATCTCCAGCCTCTGCAGGTGGAGGAAAGGCAGTTGTCAGACTTTGGAAAGGAGGATGAGAGCGCTGGTCTGACCACTCCCCTGCCACTCAGTCTTGGGGCTGGCTTCACCCTGGTCCTTTTGGTTTCTGCGTGCCCAGTGCCTGAGCCTGGCAGGGGTTCTGTGTCAAACCCTCCGTGGTCACTGCCTTGTGTCCGAGTCCCCCCACGATCACTGCCTTGTGCTCTGCTTCAGCTTCGGGCTCAGAGTCAAGCGCTGGGGCATGTACAGCCCAAGCTGGGCTGCAAGGGCATCTGGGAACACAAGTCACCTGGACAGTCCAGGGCACATCACTGGAGCCTAGGTCTGCCTTCCAGACTCAGTGCAGGGAAGGGTTTAGGTGCCAGGCTGTCCAGGAAGGGCAAGTGACCACAGGCCTCAGCACCTACCTCCTAAAACAGGACTGGTAGTAATGCCGCTCCTGGAAAGGGCCTGTTTTTGAAAAGGCTGGGTGCAGTGGCTCACACTGTAATCCTAGCACTTTGGGAGGGTAAGGCGGGCGGATCGCTTGAGCTCAGGAGTTCAAGACCAGCCTGGCCAACACGGTGAAACCCTGACTCTACTAAAAATACAAAAATTAGCCAGACATGATGGTGGACACCTGGAATCCCAGCTACTTGGGAGGGTGAGGTGGGAGGATCACTTGAACCTGGGAGGCGGAGGTTGCAGTGAGCTGAGATCGCACCACTGCCCTACTCCAGCCTGGGCAACACAGCGAGACTTCATCTCAAAAGGAAAATAAAGTAACGAATGCAGAACACTTACAGGAACTTGGTGTGTAACCTCAGCGGGTTGGTTTCACACTGAGAGGTGCGTGTTAAGGATGTTACCATGCCCATTGTGCGGGGGAGAAGATGGGCTGGGAGTGTAGCAGGACGAGCGGCAGACAAAACTTCTCAGACACCGGATTAAAGAAGGAAGAGGTTCTTTATTTGGCCAGGAGTGTCGGCAGACTCATATCTTAAGAGCTGAGCTCCCCAGAAAAGAAATTCTTGGCCTTTTTAAAGGCTTACAACTTTAAGGGGACCACAGGAAAGGGTCATGATAAATTGAGCAAGCTTGGGAAACGTGACTGGAGGCTACGTGCATCAGCTAACAGAACAAAAAGTTTTACAATACTTTTTTCATACAGGGTCTGGGATTTACAGATAACACAAGTAGTTGAGACCAGGGGTTGATGTTATTATTGTTACTTTTTTTTTTTTTAACTCCTAGGGCCGGGTGGTGGTGCCAAGGTTGTCTATTTATCTTACTTTTGTTCCTTTCTCTCTTTCCTCCTGTCTTGTGAACTAGGCAAGGTGGGGGGAGGAGGGCAGCAGGAGTAGGAGTGGTCTCTTTCCTTAGGAGAAGCTGCAGACCTTCAGGAAGCGACTGGGAGGCATGAGAGGGAGTGAGAGGTGGTGTCAGGCCAAGGTCTGAGGACGGGATTCTGGTAACAGCAAACACAGAGTGAGTGTGCTGGGCCAGACCTTTTTAAAGTCCAGTTTATCATCATAACCAACCAAAGAGGCATGCTCTGTTGTTACCCCATGGTACAGATGGGGAAACTGAGGCACCAAAAGAGTAAAGGACTGGGCCACGTCTGTGGATCTCATCCCAGGGGTCTGAGCTCACAGGATTCACTCCAGCTCCTAACAGCACAGCTGCTGCTTCTGCCCATTCAGGCTCCATCTCTTCTCTTCTGAACCGCCCCCACCCCCCACCCCCCCACCCCCCCGCCCCGGGACTTCTGTGTCCCTTTGGGGACCCCTCCAACCAACACACCAACACACCGTGTCTGGTCTCGGGGGGAAAGTCAGTCAGGCTGTCCTGCCCCGCTCTTTGCCTTTGCATCACTCATGATGGACAGTCCTGGATGGATTGGAGGGAGCTGGAAGAGCACCCCTGAAAAGGACTAGGAACAAGGCGAGACCAGACAGATGGAGATCTGACTCCCACACACTGCGGCGCCCACACCCGCTAAGCCTGGGGGAGCTTTGATTTGACATCCGATGATGGGTGGTGCCTTCCTCCAAGACTGAATAACAGGGTGGAGGATGATTCCCCCAGGCAGGAGGGAAATTCTGGAAGGCTGAAACAAAACTTGAATATTCTCTGCATGAGCAACAGGAAACTTTCCAGAGAGACGACCTGTCAGTCCTTCCTCAGACTGAGCAGTCCTTCCTCAGAGTGGCGGTCCTTCCTCAGACTACGCGGTCCTTCCTTACAGTGGGTGGTCCTTCCTCAGAGTGGTGGTCCTTTCTCAGAGGCGCGGTCCTTTTACAAGAGTGCGTGGTCCTTCCACAAGTGTGTGCGGTCCTTCCTTAGAGTGCGCAGTCCTTCCTCAGAGGCGCGGTCCTTCTATAAGAGTGCGCGGTCCTTCCTCAGAGTGTGTGATCCTTCCACGAGAGTGCACGGTGCTTCCTCAGACGCGCAGTCCTTCCACAAGAGTGCGCGTTCCTTCCACAAGAGTGCGCGGTCCTTCTTCAGGAGTGCGCGGTCCTACCGCAGAGTGCGCGGTCCTTCGTCAGAGAGCGCAGCCCTGCCTCAGACTGGGAGGTCCTTCTACAAGAGTGCGCGGTCCTTCGTCAGAGAGCGCAGCCCTGCCTCAGACTGGGAGGTCCTTCTACAAGAGTGCGCGGTCCTTCGTCAGAGTGCGCGATCCTTCCACAAGAGTGCGCGGTCCTTCCTCAGAGTGCACGGTCGTACCTCAGAGTGCGCGGCCCTTCCTCAGACTGTGCAGTCCTTCTATAAGAGTGCACGGTCCTTCCTCAGAGTACGCGGTCTTTCCACAAGAGTGTGCGGTTCTTCTACAAGAGTGCGCGGTCCTTCCTCAGAGTGCGCGATCCTTCCACAAGAGTGCGCGGTCCTTCCTCAGAGTACACGGTCCTACCTCAGAGTGCACGGTCCTTCCTCAGACTGTGCAGTCCTTCTATAAGAGTGCACGGTCCTTCCTCAGAGTACGCGGTCTTTCCACAAGAGTGTGCGGTCCTTCTACAAGAGTGCGTGGTCCTTGCCTCAGAGTGCACGGTCCTACCTCAGAGTGCACGGTCCTTCCTCAGACTGTGCAGTCCTTCTATAAGAGTGCACGGTCCTTCCTCAGAGTACGCGGTCTTTCCACAAGAGTGTGCGGTCCTTCTACAAGAGTGCGTGGTCCTTGCTCAGAGTGCACGGTACTTCCTCAGAGTGCGCGGTCCTTCCTCAGAGTGTGCGGTACTTCCACAAGAGTGCGCAGCCCTTCCTCAGAGTGCACGGTCCTACCTCAGAGTGCGCGATCCTTCCACAAGAGTGCGCGGTCCTTCCTCAGAGTGCACGGTCCTTCCACTAGAGTGCGCGGCCCTTCCTCAGACCGTGCAGTCCTTCTATAAGAGTGCACGGTCCTTCCTCAGAGTACGCGGTCTTTCCACAAGAGTGTGCGGTCCTTCTACAAGAGTGCGTGGTCCTTGCTCAGAGTAGTGCACCGGTACTTCCTCCAGAGTAGCACGGTGCTTTCCAAGAGTCGCCGCCTCTCTTCCCTCAGAGACTGCGCGGCTAACTTCCCTCAGGGTGTGCAGTACTTCCACAAAGTGGTGGTCCCTTCCTCAGGAGTGCATGGGTCCTTCCTCAGACGTGGACACAGTATATTTCCAAAGAGTGCACAGAGCCGGACGCAATGGCTCATGCTGTAATCCTAGCACTTTGGAGGCCGAGACATGTGGAATAAAAAAAGAGGTCAGAGAGGTGGCGGGAGGACCAGCCTCTGGCCAAGATGGTGAAACCCCGTCTATTACTAAAAATACAAAATTAGCGCAGGTGCAGGGCAGGGGCGCTGTAATCCCAGCTACTCGGGAGGCTGAGCAAGGAGAATCGCTGAACCCGGAGGCTGAGGTTGCAGTGAGCCAAGATCAGACAGTCCAGACCTGGGCAA